AGGAAGAACCAGGAAAAAGCTTAGGAATCAAATCTGAAAAATTCTCTACAAAAACTAAATCTTTGTATAAGAGATAGAAGAGAAATAGACACACAAATCTAATCTGATTTTTGTATTTAACACTCTTGATTCTTCCAACAGATTACACCAAGCTATATGTAGTTTTTTCAATACCCATTGCAAGATAATTAATTTGCTAACAACTTCCAATAATAATTAAACTTGAGAAACTTAAAAGACAAATATTAAGCCAACATAGAAAATATAAGAAATAGTTGGAAGCATAACATCTCATTAATTAACAATAACACCTCGATTTAAAGCCTTTTCTTTTATTTTTCTTTTTTTTTATTACAATTATGGATGTTCGAGTCAACTTATGCAAATATTAACTAATTTCCTACCTGGATAGATCAAAGACATNTTATGGATGTTCGAGTCAACTTACGCAAATATTAACTAATTTCCTACCTGGACAGATCAAAGACATAATACACGTTGGAACTAAGAAATTCATGATAAATAAATCTCTCATGGTCTGACTCTAAAAAAATTGTCAAGTTTCGAACTCAGATGTCTAAATTTACAACTTCTACCGCCTCATTCCCGGATCTTTCTCCATTGATATATGACCTTTGCTATACTGTCTCCTTCCTCCCTTTTTTCTATGGTCACACCACTATCACCAGCGAGTAGGTTTCGTCAGCCCATATTCCGAGGGTGTGTATGCTGAAGATTTGAAGGTCAGTGTGAAAGAGTGGATAGAACTATTGGACCAAAACAATTTTAGTTGTAAAAATTGAATTTTTGATCGATTTTGAGCATAAATTAAAGGGGAATCAGTTCGTCGTTTCGAGTAAACTTTTGTGAGTTCATGTTCTATTCCGTTAAGAGAATAATGTAGTATATTTACTTGCCCAAATCGAGTAAGAAATGAATTAGAAATATGCTTCAAATTGACCCACGTGAATTATAAAAATAGATGTTGTATAATGTGGGATTTGACATCAATCCCACATTGATTGAGAAATAAATTCTACTTGTACATATATATGACAAATTTGTTTTGAGTTGAACCCTAAGAGATTATATTTTTGTGAGCAGAGCGAGCATCTACATGGGCTTCAATTCAACCACACATGCACGTCAACTACCAAGTCATGACCCAACTCAGGTGTAGGTATGTGTTAGACTCAATCTTATCAATTTTGGAGAAAATTAGTTTAACGAATTGAGCTCAAATTTCTTAACCCGTAATTTAATTTCTGGTGCCCATTACAATTCAAATTTCGCACCTGGTCAGATTTTAATTTTCTTTCTAGTCCAAAATTTGAAATTTGTGTTTGTTCAATATTAGACAAATTTAAATGGTGTCTTCTAGTTACATGGTGTCTGCTGGATTGAGTCTGTTCATATGGTAACTATGCCGGACAATCACCATTTTTGTCTATAAATAACTCAAATTCATAGTCATTCTACATTAATTACATTACGAATTAATGCCATCAATACATTCATATTTTTGGTATTAAGAACTCTACATTTTCTAAGAGTACAACACACAATTCTAGTTCATTGGGTATTTAGATTGAAGAGTTACTTTTAAGAGCGTAAAGATCATTGTATCATAGAAGACAGATGCTATAATTTCCATAAGCACTCAGTGCGGGGCACTTACCGGAAAAAAAAAAATATGGGCGCAAAATTTGTCTTAAGAGTATAGTGTCAAATACTAGTCTTAATCTACATAAAGTTCAATCACAATTTCTGATTTTTCAAACGATAACTATTTAATTACAGATTCATGTATTACTATTTCATTCTAATTTACATGATACAAATCAAAATTTTCAATACGTAATTTTGTTATATGAAAAACCCAAACAAGAAGAAGTCGTGTCTCACAAAATGAAGCTAAATATTTCATTGTCTAAAATCACTCCTTTTTTTTCACCTTTTATCTTGCTAGAAAATCCATTATCCAAAACCACCCATTTATTCTCACTCCCTACAAACTTTTCACAACATAAAATTTTACTTTTATAGGTCAAATTTAATTGTCAAATAACAGTGAAATTGAAGTCAAAATGAATATTTTACTTTCTACGCTAATAAAATACACTTAATTTGGGCTATAAAGTCGAATATATTTCACTGTCTTGAATATTAAAATGAGTTATTTCACTTTTGAAAGACGTGCACTTTTTTAGCATGTCATTAAATTGTTATTTTTTTTTAANCCTATGTACTCATATCTTTTTGTTATTGAAATGGAAGTTCTAACACAGATCATTATGAGAAATATTCATGCAGCTTAAGAGTTCAGATACCACTGGAGATGCAGCAAACAAAGAATTGCTCAATTGAGTTTTGCAGATGACCTTTTCTTATTATGTCATGGTGATATTAATTCTGCTAGAGTGTTGAAGACTTCTTTGGAGACTTTCGAAGTTCTTTCATGCCTTAAAGCTAATCCACTAAAGAGCAATATCTTTCTTTCTGGGGTCTCTAAGGCTCAGCAACTACAAATTGTGGATTGTTTCCGTTTTCCTTTGGGCAACTTACCTATTAGGTACCTGGGTATCCCTATGATCACTACGAAGCTGAGGGTCAATGATTGTACTGCTTTGGTGGAATCTGTTGAGGCAAGAATTAGATCATGGGCTTCTAGATTCCTTTCTTTTGCAGGAAGATTACAGCTCATCCACTCAATCCTATCCAATATTCATATCTTCTGGTCTAGTCACTTGATTCTTCCCAAGAATGTCCTTAACAATGTTGAGCGGAAACTAAGGGCCTTTCTTTGGACAGGAGCTGAGCTTAGGACAATTGGAGCTAAAGTTTCATGGAAGGAAGTGTGCCTTCCAAAACAAGAAGGTGGTCTGGGTGTTAAGGATCTTAAGGCTTGGAATAAGGCATTAATGCTCAGACACCTTTGGCATTTAATTTCTGATGAAAGTAATATTTGGTCTAAATGGGTGAGAGACTATTATCTGAAAGGAAGTAGCACCTGGACTGTCAAGCCCCCTCACATTTGTTCATGGAATTGGAGGAAACTTTTGAANAGAGACTATTATCTGAAAGGAAGAAGCATCTGGACTGTCAAGCCCCCTCACATTTGTTCATGGAATTGGAGGAAACTTTTGAAGATAAGGGATTTTTCTAGACCTTTCTTGCTCCACATTATTGGCGATGGGAGAGAAACATCACTATGGTTTGATAATTGGCATCCTGCTGGTCCACTAATGCTTAAATGGACTCCCATAATTATGTATGATTCTGGCCTCAATATAAATGCTAAAGTTTGCCATATTATTCATGGTAATCAATGGAGATGGCCCAGGGCTAATGCTAGAAACAACAATGGCTTGCTGCAAATTGAGGTATCCATGCCATCCTACTCTCCTAGACCTGATATGAAAGATATTGTTAAATGGTTGCTTACCCCCAATGGCTCCTTCTCCTCTTCTTCTGCCTTGGAGGAACTAAGGTATAGACAACCTTTGGTTCCTTGGCATAAGCATCTTTGGTTCAGTCAATGTATTCCAAAGATGAGCTTCATTCTTTGGCTTGCCTTTAGATGCAGACTTTCAACCAATGATCGCATTCATAAATATATGCAAAGTGTGGATTTAAGTTGTGTCTTGTGTAGGGTAGCTCCTGAAACACACTCTCATTTATTCTTTGATTGCTCCTACTCTGAAAGGATCTGGAATTATGTTATGGAGAAATGTCACCAGTCTTGGCAACAATTACCTTGGCAGGATTTTATTATCCAGTCAGCACACATTTGGAAGGGGAAAAGCCTTGCCACTGTGATCAAGAAGCTTTGTCTTGCTGCCACAGTATATATGTTATGGAATGAGAGGAATCAAAGGATATTCAGAAACCAACGGAAGGATCCTGTGACTGTCCAGCGACTTATCATCAACATTGTCAGGAATAGACTAATATCGTTGAAGTTTAAGGAAAACATAGAGAATCGAAGAATTGCTCAATCATGGCAGCTACCCAGTTCTCTTTTTGTTTATGGTGATGACTCTATGCTAATTACATAGAATATTTTTTGGTTTAAATCTTTGAAGAATATTGTAAATCTTCAGCATTCTCCCCAGATTTTCCCCTGCTTTTGTTTGTTTTTTAGTTCTTGTCTTGCATGTTTTTGGCAGACAAGAGTTTTTCTTCATTGTATATTCTCATTGGTTATCAATATACTGTTTACTTACCCAAAAAAAAAAAAAACTAATTACAATAGGTAATAGGAGAGTTACTGGACATGCTAATAAAGAGAGCACATTTCAATTTTTAATTACCAATAAATAACATTGATTTTATATACATTCTCCAAACATTTACCTTCTTGTGAAATCAAATAACATTTATGGCCGACTGATTTTATTTTTGCTTCTACCATTAACATCTGAAACTGATTCAAAAACATTCAAAAAATGTAAATATAGGCTCTCTTTTTTTTCATTAATTCTGCATGTAACCAATTCTATTTTGTATCCTAAAAAATTTAAGAATTTTTATTTTATACCTTTAATGATTCAATATTTCACATTTTAATATCAACATATTAAAAATATTACAATGTGACCCTTCCAATAGTTTATGTTATTCATTCAATGATCCATTAACGTGTCCATTGTTATGATATTGAGGTACAATATTAGAAATCTCATTTTTTAACGTATGAAGTGGAAAAACTTAAATCCTTTGGGGTCAATAGTGAGATTCCCCCAAAAATTTAAACTCCAGCAAGCTTTTACATGTGAGGGAAAAAATCTGCCGTTTTACTGCTTTTCTACTTATCCTTCGACAGTTACGGAAACAAATCTCATAAACCATCATTTTATGCTCAATTCATTTCCCCCCCCCCCCCTTCTCTCTCTCTCTACATATATATACCTATATATATGTGTATATATAGTGTATGGACAAGTATAGAACCCATGCAGAGAGAGAAACTGTGATCTCATTTGAAATAGTTACCAGAGATGGGGTTATGGGTACAGTACTGCAGTTTCTCTGTGCTGCTCATTGCTGTATTTCAAGTTGTGAATGCACAAAACTGCGATTTCTACAACGGGAATTGGGTTGCTGATGGATCTTACCCTCTCTACGACCCCGCAGCCTGTCCGTTTATCGAACGCGAGTTCAGCTGCCAGAAGAATGGCCGTCCGGACAAGATGTACCTCCAATACCGGTGGCAGCCCCAGGGATGCGAATTGCCACGGTACTGTCTTCTCCCCTTAATTTTGCTAATCTTTCTTATTTAAAATTGCACTCTGTTTTTCATCAGGTAGATTATTGGTCGATCCATGTGCCTATGTCAGGTCATGTTAAAATTTATTTAGTTAGGTATGACTTTTCATAATTTAAGCAAAATCATATAAAAAAAATTGTCAATATAAATTTTAATTTATAGCTTTTTTACCAGTCTAATAACTAATAATATCTAGTTTGTCTATTGTGCATTGAGAAATCTTCTCTTCTTTTTTCACATAGCCTATCTCTTTGAACCCCCCCCCCCCCCACACAAAAAAAAGAAGGCTGCAAGATACAAGATACTTTTGTGAAAAAAACGTGTTTACTTTTAACACTTTTCATTTATAAACACTACAACTAAATATTGTTACAACTATAAACACTTTAACGATTTTAGTAAACACGTTTTTTTAGAAAAATATATTTAGTAAACACGTTTTTCATGTCTTCTATATATAATTACTGTACCTATGGACCATATGTTTTATTTAAAAGTGGGTTTATTGATTTTGTTTTTAATAAAAGTGAGCTTGCTGTTTTGACTTTAAAATATATCGTAATCATATAAATAAGTTCAAAAATATCGTATTTTAATATATTATTTTAAAAAGATCATAGATCAATAAATAACTCTTTCAAATTGCCTCTCTTTGTCTCCCCCCAAAAAAACACCAAAAGGCTGCAAGATACAGCCTTCCGCCATGTTCTGAACATTATTGTCTAAACGTGGGAAACCATTCAATGACGTTGAAACTTTTTGGTTTGTTTCATTGTAGGTTCGATGCTAAAGGGTTCTTGCAGAAGCTCAAAGGGAAAAGTGTAATGTTTGTAGGAGATTCCCTTAGCCGAAACCAGTTTCATTCCCTAGTGTGCCTGATTTATACAGCAATGCCCAACATCAAATACAACCAAATAACACAAGCCAATGTCTCCACATTCGAAATCCCGGTACCACATGATACTAGCTAGTATCTTATCGTGTTAAAATTTTATATGTATATGTGGTAGTTATTATATTATGTTAGATATCTATATATATGATAGTGTAACGATTTACTGTGTCCACAAGCTAGTTTGTACCAGTTGACAATAACTCTGTCGTGGTATTTCTTTTCTGATGAATAT